TTATGGGGGATGTTTCCGCACACTGCAGGCCTGACCAGCACAAGGACTAGAAAATGCCCTCAAGAGGAAAATAGGCACCTGAGGTAGGAAGGCTTTTGTGTATAAAGAACTGTCCACTTCTGCTGCGGTGACTTGAGCTGAGGAGGCACCTGTAGGCACCTGTAGTAGATGCTTTCCTTGTAACGGGACAAGGATAGTATTGACTACAGGGGCTTACATTTAAAAATCAATAGATCTCTCACAACAATCTATGTGAATCATAAAAATATCAGAAAATCTGGGCTTGCATTCCCACGTGGGATGGCAAGCTGCTGCCCCCTTAATGGGGGTATATGCTCCCTGGTGTGCCACACTCCCCACCACTCCCTAACGTCTCTTGCCTGAAGCCAACAGTCAGGTTTTTGTTTGTTTAATTTACTTCTTAACACCCAACCCACTTCCTTCCTCTATGTTATCTGCCTGGTCCCTCGCTGAAGGAGCCTGAGTTTGTCACCTTTTAAGGAGGAGACAGGCTGCCGTTGCATGTAGGCCAAGTCGTCTCGGAGATAGCATTTGATTTCCTGGGACCAAATCCTTAAATATGAAGCTGTAACAGGAACCTGGAGGCCTCTCTTGACAGCCTGCCCAGCTCTCATTATGACATTTAGCCTGTGATTGATATTGTGTGTGTCATTGAGACCTTGGCAGTTAATCTCTGGGTCGAATCTATGGAAACCAAACAGAACAGATTTGTCTTCCCTTCCATGTTGGCTGTGATCTGGGAAACAGATGCTCCTGGCCTCTCTGAGAATTAGAGAGTTGGGAGCCATGCAGAGAGGGTGCACACAGGCCGCCTTCAGGATTTGGAAAGATTACAGGTCTGTGGTTTCTGGACGGTTCCACACTTTGTTCTCTTTCCCCATCAAATCTGCATGCTGGAGGATAATAGATCCCAGGGCTCACTCTGCGTGCCAAGCTCTTCAGGGTAGACCGCACCACTTCCTCTTCTGTCTGGAAATCCAGCCGAGGCTTTCAGCACAGCGATGGAGACGGGTATGGTTCCCTCCACAGTGTAATGAAGGAAGAACAGCCTCATCAAGGGTGAGGTCAGCTTCAGTGATCAAAGGAGGCAGACGGAGGTTTCAGAATGGAATTGACCCCAGTGTCTCCTGAAAATCACCTCTTCTGAAGCTTCCATTAACCGCAGGCAGAGTTCAAGATGGCCTAAATCACCACCCTTAGGTGTATGGTGCCCAGCTTCTACTCACTTCGAACAAGAAGAGTGGGTGCCATGGATGGGCTGAGCTTCAGATCTTCAGACACTGTGGGCCTGAAGCAAGGAGAGCTATAACTACTTATGCTCTTAGGGGACTGAGGGGTCTGGGCTCGTTTCTGTGAGAAAGATTTCTGGCCACTCCTTGAAATAATTTCTTCCTTCCTGACTGGAAATACAGAAGACAGGCCCCAGAATAGTTTGGGCCTGAACGACCACCCGTGGCAGGAGGGCAGCCCACCCTGCGCCTGCAGTCCCCTCACCTTCACCCTCCTCTGAATCAGCCTGGAGGCTCAGGCCTGCCTTAGCAGCTCTTGCTGTGCCCCTAGCACAGGCCTCACAGCCCTTAATCATTCCTTCACCCCTCAGTCACTCATTCCATTCATTCACTAAGCCACTTCCTCATCCAACCCATATCTCCTGAGCGCCTCCTATGTGCCAGACACCAAGGCTACACAGAGAAGCAACACTCAGGAGTCCCAAGGTCCTCTCTCCTCCCAGCCTGCAGCTGCATTCTGGGCTAAAGACCAGGTCTCCCATCCCACTGGGACAGCGGGAGGCATTTTGAATAAGCGCCCTCACTACCTTTCCCTTGACTCTGCAGCGCCCTGGCTCTCTAGCCACATCTCAGACAATTATTATTAAACTTCACTAAGTGTCAGACTCACTTGGGAGCTCACTAAAATACAGATGCCTGCGCCCCAACTCCTGGTCCAGGGTGCAGCCCGGGAATCTGTATTTTTGGTCAGTGCCAGGTGACTCTGACAGAGGTGGTCTTCAGACCACACTTTGAGAGACTCCACAGGAGGGTCCCTTCTGCTGCCCATTGCCCTCTCCACACCCCACCAGGAAGCAGGAAGTTGCTGGAGGAAGTCACAAATCCTGGCTTCCCACAATCCCTACAGACACACACGGCTAGCTAGTGATCCTTTAAGTCATCTGCTATGGACTTGGGAGAATCGAATTCCCCAAATCAGTGGTGTCAACCCTTTCCTTTTAAATTTCTATCATGGAGAATTTCAAACACACCTGAAGAGAAACAGCAACTGGCCAGGTGTGATGGCTCACGCCTATAATCCCAGCACTTGGGGAAGCTAAGGTGGGAAGATCACTTGAGCTCAGGAGTTCGAGACCAGTCTGGCCAACATAGCGAGACCTCATCTCTATTTTAAAAAAGGAAAAAAGAGAAACAGCAACTGCTTTATAACCATCATCCAGCCCCAATCACCATCACTCATAGCCAGCCCATCTCATTCACACCTACATCAATACCCTGCCCCAACATTGTATTATTTATATTTTCTAACTATATTATTTTTGAAACAAGTATTTCAGAATATTTTTCTAAAAGATAAGGCCCTGTGGTATGACGTTACTGTCCTCGGAATCTCCAGCAAGTTGGCTGATAGATACAGACCTGAGGACCCTGAGAAGACCGAGGTTTTTTTTTGGTGAGATGACTCCTGCCATGGTGGTGTGCTCTTCTGTCCGAAGGCATATAATGTCTGATCATCTCTTCTTATTTGTATGTGGTTGGCAGTTTATGCTCAGTCTCTGGATGCAGCAGCTCATCAGGTGGTGTGAAATGGTGCTTCCTTCTTTATTCATTATCTGGAATACTTCTATAAAAGAAAATTTCCCATATTGAGCCAGTAGTATATAGTTTGTATAAGAGAGGAGCAATACATGCAGATTCTTCTCCTTTATCTATCCATCTTCAAAATAAGGAGCTGGTTCCCAAACATCTTCCAACTGTGCATAATTAAGTTTTGGGTTTTTTGTTTTTTTTTTTCTGATAGGGTCTCACTGTGTTGTCCAGGCTGGAGTACAGTGATATGATCATGGTTCACTATAGCCTCAACTTCCTGGGCTCAGGTGGTCCTTCCACCTCAGCCTCAGCCTCCTGAGTAGCTGGGGCTACAGGCATGCACCACCACACCCAGCTAATTTTTGCATTTTTTGTAGAGATGGGTTTTGCCATGTTGCTCAGGCTGGTCTTGAATTCCTGGGCTCATGCAATCCACCCACCTCAGCTTCCCAGAGTGCTGCGATTACAGGCATAAGCCACTGCACTTGGCCTGTTCTCAGTATTATTATTATTTTGAGACGGAGTTTCACTCTTGTTGCCCAGGCTGGAGTGCAGTGGTGCAATCTCAGCTCACTGCAACCTCCGCCTCCTAGGTTCAAGCGATTCTCCTGCCTCAGCCTCCCGAGTAGTTGGGATTACAGGCACCCACCACCACACCTGGCTAATTTTTTGTACTTTTAGTAGAGAAAAGGTTTCACCATGTTGGGCAGGCTGGTCTTGAACTCCTGACCTCAGGTGATCCACCCGCCTCGGCCTCCCAAAGTGCTGGGATTACAGGCATGAGCCACCGCGCCCAGCCTTCAGTATTATTATGACTTAAGTGTTTGATGTGTTTTGATCCACTGGAATTATTGTTATTTTTCATGTTCAAATTGTTCCATTTTTGATAAATGGAAGCTTCTTCAAGTTGTATTCTGAGTCCCTTTGACATGTTCCTAATGATCTTTGAAGCCATGAACCCTTTCCTACATTCTCTGCATCCCGGGCCTGCCCCTGCTCACACTGCACCTCATCTCCCTCCCCATCACACTAAGACACTGTGCTACAGAGAGCCTCAATTCATGATCCTCTTTATCTGTAAAATGGGGTTAATGATAGGGTATTAGAATAACCCTACCTCAGTGTTGTTAAGATTAAATGGATTTACAATCATCAAGCACTTGGAACAGTGTCTGGCACACAATAGGTGTTATATAAGTATTTGTCAAATAAATAAACAAATAGCACTCCCTCCCAGTCACTCACCTCTATGGTTCTCCGTCTTCCCACCTTTTCCTCCTTCTCTCCAGTCTCAGAGTAGGAGCACAACTTCCCTTCCCAGGCTGACCATAGGTGCATCAGTTACTCAACTCCGGAAACAATCGCTGTCCAATTCCACTGCAAATTCCTCTCCTTGGGGACAATGGAAAGTCCTCTCTTGCATTCCACTGGCAGAGCCTAACGAGTACTCCAAATTCACATTTCAATCTGGAGGCACAGCTTTCTATCTTGGGGCATCTCTTCCAATCCCCTTGGTAAGTTAAGGCAATGATGGCCAGGCTCCCAGTGTGAGAGCATGAGCACTGCCTTCAGCTCTTCTGACAGGTTAACTCTCACGCAGCCACGTGTCCTTCTCTCTCGAGGCTTCTGAATCCTGCTGACGTGCATGTGGCCCAGACCCAGGCCCGGGCAGGTATGGCCTTGGCGATGTGCTCTTTCCGCTGGCTGATGGCTCCCTGCACACGCTGAGAGGGCCATGGACCTGGAATGTCAGGGATCTTCTGGGCCTTCCTATTTTGGGTCCAAAATGGCCCAAACCAGTAGGTTTCAATCAGATGAAGGAAAAAGTAGGCACCAAAGGAGTAAAGTCTAAAGAAAGGTGGGAAGGGACTGGCTGCTGCTTGCAGGACTTCTTAGCCCCAAAACCTGCCTTGGCCCACATCCAAGGACCCCAGCTCTCCTACTTTAGAAAGATTGGAACATTGGGGAAGTGTCATTTAACTGTCATCATGGCCTTCCTTGTTTACCTGGGTGGCCTGGGAAGAGGAAGCAGGGGCATAGCAGGTTGGGGAAACGCTTGCCAAATTTTAAGATTAGCTTATTCCCACCTCTTTTCGTAAAGCCTATTCCCTGCCTCAGTGTCCCCTGCTAACCCCCATCCTGCTTCTCTCTCATAACCAGCTGCAGAAAGGAGAGAAAATCCCTTAGCTCTAAAATGACATCCGGAGAAGTGAAGACAAGCCTCAAGAATGCCTACTCATCTGCCAAGAGGCTGTCGCCGAAGGTGGAGGAGGAAGGGGTGGAGGAGGACTACTGCACCCCTGGAGCCTTTGAGTTGGAGCGGCTCTTCTGGAAGGGCAGTCCCCAGTACACCCACGTCAACGAGGTCTGGCCCAAGCTCTACATCGGCGATGAGTAAGTGCCATAGTTAGCTGTGCCACAATTTACCCACAATTTCTCAGATGCGAACATTAGGGGAAGGAAGGAGAGGGGTGTACAGAAACTCTAAGGTTTTCTCCTTTGAATTCGGCTTTATTGAGAAATAATTCATAGACCATAAAGTTCAGCCTTTTAAAGTGTACAATTCAGAGGTTTTGTTATATTTACAGAGTTGTGCAACCATCACCACTCTCTAATTTTGGAACATTTTTATCACCTCAAAAGGAAACCCCGAACCCACTAAACAGCCACTCCCCATTCCCTACCTGCCCTTCGGGCCCTGGCAACCACCAATCTACTTTCTGTTTTTATAGATTTACTGATTTCCAGACATTCTGTATAAATGGAATATTATAATATGTTCTTGGCTTTCTTTTACTTTGCATAATGTTTTCCAGGTTCATCCAAATTGTACTTGTATCAGTATTTTATTCCTTTTTATTACCAAGCTCCATGTGACTTTTGCACTTTTCTGTAAGTCTAAAATTAGTTCCAATTAAAAAAGATACACATACACTTTGACCCAAAATATCACTTTAAGAAATGTAATTTACAGAAATAAGAGTAGCAATAATGAGAAAATATGTGCAACAATGCTTATCATAACAGTGTTTGGACTAGCAAAAAAAAAAAAAAAGGAGGAGGGACTGACATCTCTAGCCTTTTAATAACAAAATATTAATTAAATGTAGTAAATATTTCCTATAACGAAAGTAATAGGCCGGGCATGGTGGCTCACCCCTGTAACCCCATCACTTTGGGAGGCCAAGGTGGGAGGATTGCTTGAGCCCAGGAGTTTGCGACCAGCCCGGGGAATATAGCGAGACATCATCTCTACAAAAAATTTTTAAAAATTATCTGGGCTTGGTGGCACACAACTATAGTCCCAGCTACTTGGGGGGCTGAGGTGGGAGGATCACTTGAGCCTAGGAGGTCATGGCTACAGTGAGCTGTAACTGTGCCACTGCACGCTAGTCTGGGTGACAGAGTGAGACTCTGTCTCAAAAAAAAAAAAAAAAGTAACATATGCTCATTGTGTAAATAGAGAAGTCTCGGTTTCCCTGTTGGTAAGAGGCTAATAAGATAACCTTCCTCATGGGGCTGTATGGATTAAGTGGTATAATGTGTGTAAAATAGCACACTGCCTAGTACATAGGAAGTGCTCAGTAAAGCTTAGCTACGATAAAAAAATGATAAATGTAAGAAAGATTGCTTTCAATATCCCAAAGCAATCACCAAAGGCCATTACTCCAAAGATACTCCTATTAATATTGTAGTATATTTCCTCCTAGACTTTCCGAATATTACTTTTGGTTTTGGAATTTGTTTTTACATAATTGTAACTATATTGATTATTCATTTTCTCTTATTTCTCACATAGCATCATTCATAAACATTTTCTTTTATTACTTCTTATGTATTTAATTATAATAGACATGACAATATATCAGATGAACAGAAGAGCGTTCATTTAACTACTTCCCTATTGTTGGGCATATCAGTTACTTTCATGTTTTCACTTTTATAAGCAACGCTGCAGTGGACATCTTTACACATAATGTTTTTTCTATATTTAGAATTATTTCCTTAGATCTGACCCTAGAAATGGTACAACCAAGGAAAGAGGGATTAAGATTTTAAGACTTAAACTGTCTCTGTATCTTTATCTATGCTGTTCCCTTTGTCTAAAATGTCTTTCCCTGCACCTCATGTCCGAGTCCAGATCCTATGCATTCTTCAAAGTCCACTCAAGTCATTTCTGCCATGAAGCTAGCTTCCCCCAATCCCCATAGTGAGAAGTAAGCTTTTTCTCTGTATATTGTATACTGTATTTATGTTTCCTATGGCTTATAATAATAGTAGCTAAGTTGTATTGAATTCTTAGGTGTTAGGTGTCATGCCTTGTGCTAGGCGTCATTTAGACTCCACAATAACCCTATAAAGGAGGAACCATTATTATTCCCATTTTACAAATGGACAAGTCACAGCTCAGAGAGTTCATTCATTCATTCAGTCAGCCAGTAACCGTTTACTGGACACCTTGCTTAGAGCTGCGGGGGAAACAAGAAAGAAACTGAGGCTCAGAGAAATCAAGTGACCAGCCCAAGTTCTCACCACCAGAAAGGGGTAAAATTTATACTCAAACCCAGATCAAAAAAAAAAAACATGGTCAGGCTGGGTGCAGTGGCTCACGCCGGTAATCCCAGTACCTTGGGAGGCCGAGGCGGGCGGATCACAAGGTCAAGAGATCGAGACTATTCTGGCCAACATGGTGAAACCATCTCTACTAAAAATACAGAAATTAGCTGGGTGTGGTGGCGCTTGCCTGTAGTCCCAGCTACTCAGGAGGCTGAGGCAGGAGAATTGCTTGAACCTGGGAGGCGGAGGTTGCAGTGAGCAGAGATTGCGCCACTGCACTCCAGCCTGGTGACAGAGTGAGACACCATCTCAAAAACAAACAAACAAAACATGTCAGGTACAGAAGCTGTTTCAGAGTTGAGGAGGGCAGAAGATGGAGATGAGCAGAGATGTAACAGGGAACAGAAACAGCAGTGAGTACTGGAGGGGAAGGAGCACAGGCTTGGAGTCTTGGCTCTGCCACACAACACGCCAGTTGTGTGACCTTGGACAAATTATTTTACCTCTCTTCACCTCATATGGCAACAATAATAGGACTTCTCTCACGGGGTGAAGATTAAATGAAATCAAACAAATGCTAGAGTAGTATCTGGCACATAGTAAATGCTCAGTAAGTGCTTGGTGCTATTATGGATCTCAGAAAGATCACAGAAGACATGAATCCAGGCTCGACTTTTGAAGATGGGTAGAATTTCAAAGAAATTCCAGGCAGAGGAGGCAGGATGGGAATAGCTACAGAGGTGAGAAAAGCAGGGGGATTCATCTGGAATATAGAGGATGAATGTGGTACACTTTCAGAAGGTCTGAGATTAAGCCAAATTCTACTGCTGTGTGGTCAGTTTCGATTAGCTGTGCTAGTCTAATAGCTCACCCCAGCATCTTGACGGCCTGCCACAGCAAGGTTCTTTTTCACTCCCACTGCAGTCCATGGTGGGCCAGCTCCGCTGCATTCCCGGCCACTTTACTCTAGGACCCAGGGTGACACAGCAGCCCCGATTTGGGATCTTGCTGGCCTTGCAGCAAAGAGAAAAGAGAGACCTGACAAACCATAAGCTGATTTAGAAGTGACACTTGCCATTTTTGCCCACATTTCACTGGCAAAAGCAAGTCCACACCAAAGCCTTATGTCAGTCGGGCAGGAAAGTATAACTAGCACAGCCGGAGGGGCTGCAAACATTCTAACAGTAACGCCATCTGGCACAGTCTCCTAGTCAGGTGCATTGGCTTTGGGCAGGTTATTTTACCTTTTCCTCAACTTAAAGAATAATTGGCCAGGCGTGGTGGCTCACGCCTGTAATCTCAACACTTTGGGAGGCTGAGGCAGGTGGATTGCTTGAAGTCACAAGTTTGAGACCAGCCTGGCCCCGTCTCTACTAAAAACACAAAAATTAGCTGGGCATGGCCGGGTGCGGAGGCTCACACCTGTAATCCCAGCACTTTGGGAGGCTGAGGGGGGTGGATCACGAGGTCAGGAGATCGAGACCATCCTGGCTAACACGGTGAAATCCCGTCTCCACTAAAAATACAAAAAATTAGCCAGGCATGGTGGCGGGAGCCTGTAGCCCCAGCTACTCAGGAGGCCAAGGTGGAAGAATGGCGTGAACCCGGGAGGTGGAGGTTGCAGTGAGCTGAGATGGCGCCATTGCACTCCAGCCTGGCAACAGAGTGAAACTCCGTCTCAAAAAAAAAAAAAAAAAAAAGTAATAGACAAATGCAAATATTATTGTTACTTAACAACATATTGTTACTTAACAACAACCACAAAAAGAAATCTGGAACGGTAGGTCAGGGCCAGCTCGAGGAAGGGTAAATGACAGCCAAGGGACTTCATTCAGAAAGCCGTTGAGTATCTGAGCAGAACCAACGTGTTCTAGTTAATCAAGTGCCAGACAATAAAATATGCTTGCCTCCTTGATGTTTGACCTTGAACTTGCTTCTTTCAACCAAGAAGATGGAAAATGTCACTGCCCTTGTAATTCAACTCTGCCTAATCGAGCCCCAATACAAGCACACACAGGTGTGTGAGGCTTGCACTCCCGGCTGGGGGCCGGAGCCTCAAGTCAGCATGGCGTGGTGCTTGTCCCTGATTTCTGTGACACTCACTTAACAAGGTTAAGGACACTCACAGATGCTTATTGCAAGAGCAGTTAGCTCCACCGCCAGTGCAGCCATGCACAGGCCATAAACTGGGCTGTGAGCCGGCAAGGCTGCCTGTGTTTCTTGGTCTTTTTGCAGGGGTTGCCCAAAGCAGCCGAAAGCTCCAAGCTGGTTCCTCGTGCATAAAACCTCAGTTTTAACTTGATATTTACATTTTGGTTAGGTTTTTCCTTTCCCTAAAAGCACCTAAGATTTTTGAGCCCAGTACCAAGGTACCAAGGCTCTGGAAGTGAAGGAGGTCAGGACTCAGGAGTAAGGTTGGATGTCCTGCAACGGCCAAAGCTACTATCTATCCTTGGAGCCCAGGCCAGTGACTGTTGGGCCCGCAGAGGGGCATATGTACCTCTAAGATGAAGCTCACTCTTTTCCCTGCTCCTTTTTGTGGAGAGAGGTCGAGTGGCTAAGCATCTGCTCTGGAGCCACAGTGTCTGGACCCAATACTGGTTTCTGTGTGGCCTTGGGCAAGTCACTCAAGCTTTGTGACTTTCAATTTCTTCACCTATAAAATGCGGATTCTATGCGTTAATGCAAACAAAACATGTCTCACAGTGCCCAGTACCTTCATGCACTGAATGACAAATCAGGCAGGTTCTGGAAATTCAACTCACAGTGTATGAGGAAGATAAAGAACAGTCACTGTGCCTTTCCACCCAGGGTCCCCATGCTAGGGGAAGAAGCCT